CAGCAAGCTTCCCCAATGCAATTCCTCCTTTTATATCCTGACTGCTCGGTACTGCCTCCAAAAACCTGTCAGAGGATCAGTTACAAGCCAGTTCCAACTCGATGGTACATTTCAACAACAAAAAGTGAAGATGTGGTTTCAATTGCTTAGAGATTCTAACCTGTTAAGGGAAGATGTGATCTCAAAGGGTGAAGATTTTAGACGCTTAAGTGAAGATGTGCTACAGATTCGGTTTTCTCACTTTTCAGATAAGAGATCTTTAAATTGGATTGAGAAATTGTGGTACATTCACACAATGAACTACTACATAGCACTCAGGAGCAACAATTTCAAAAATTACTGTCAAATTTGGGAGGGACTGGAAAGCATTCTGCTGTGTGAACTAAGTGAACTAACACAATACTGCATAAGACCATTATTGTAGAAATAGAAAGACAATTAGTGCAACATGTATGAGATTCCAAATTGGGGAGATGGGAGCAGAGGAGTGAGGATAGGCAGGGGGGAATCACAAGTCCACATAATTTGGTGCATGGAGGGAAGGGTGGATAAATGACATGGGAAAGATCTGGCAAGAAAGGGCAATCATGGGCATAGTTCAGTGTTGATTAATTTAATAAAATATGATGAGTGGGAATGATTGTATGAAAATAACAGGAATGAAGAATAGTATGAAACAATGTATATGAACCATGTAAGAAAATAAATATAAAATAAAACATTTTTTTTAAAAAGAGACCTTGCAATATGAGTGGCAACCTCATGTCTTCATCTTATCAGAGACCAGGATATCTATATAACATAGAAAAAAGACATGCACAAATGGGGATAACAGAAGGGGATAAAGAGCCAGATAAAATCAAGGGGCTGACAGGGCAATGAAGTAGACCACGAACTTTGATTTTAGGGGCCACTTTGCTTTTAAGATATTAATGCTGTTTGTGCACGATAAGGGAGCTTTGCCTGCAAAGTGGATGGAACTCAGAATAAGCAGCAGGAAGTTTCTGTGAATTTGCCGTATGACATCAGAATCAGCTCAATATTCAACAATTATTGTTGCCAGGCAACATGCATGGTTGTTTGACACTATAATTCAATTATTTATTTGTAAAAAATACTTTTTCTAAAAACCACAGAGGGTGATTTTACACGTGGCGCTCACCTACTGTATGACAAAGGAATCAGATGGATTACGTTGTTGAAAGAATTGTTGGAGAAGCTCAATATTAGCAGTCAAAACCAGGTCCGGTGCTGACTGTGGAACAGATCATTAACTGCTCATGTACAAGTTCAACGTGAAGCCGAAGAAAATTAAAACCAGTTCGCAAGAACTAAAATATAATGTCTAGTGGTGTTAGTCTCTCCCACCTGAATTTCAAAATCATCTCCAGAATAGTTCTGAGGCATTGAATAGTAATAATTTGAAGACCAGATGAGTTACAGGATAAAATCAAATATACTCGTGTACAGAGTAGAAGGTCATTGCAAAGACGAAGGAGGAAGAAAATACAAAAATGGATGTCAAAAGAGACTCTGAAAAATGGCACTAGGAGTTCAAGAAGTCAAACCAAAGGGTACAAAAGTCAAAATGAAAGAAATGAATGAAAGATTTCATAGAACAACTCAGGAAGGTGTTTTAACACAATGTGCAAATAGCTGGAGTTGGAGACTAAAAAGGCAAGAACTTCCGAGGCATTTATAAAACTGAAAGAATTGAAAACCAAATTCAAACGGTGAATTGCAACACTGAGAGAAGCCAAGGGCAAAAAATTTGAATGATCCAGAAAGCATCAAAAGAAGGTGAAAGGAATCCACAAAATCACTGTACCAAAAAGAACCACTTGACACTGAAAAATTTCAGGAAGTATACCATAACAAGAGTGGTAATGAAAGGAGAAGTTCAAGATCCACTAAAGACATTGGTAAAAAAAATAAAGCCCCAGGAATCTCTGGGATACCAGCTGACATGATTCAACTAAGAGATGCCTCCCTAGACACGCTCACCCATCCTTGGCAGGAAACTGGAAGGAGAGCTGCCTGGCTGGCTGATTAGAAGAGAGTCCTATTTGTTCCCATCCCCAAGAAAGGTAATCCAACAGAATGTGGAAATTGTAAAAGAGAATATATCATTAATATCACATGTAAGCAAAGTATTACTAAAGATCATCCCCAAATAACTAGAACAGTATATTGACAGAGAACTGGCACAAGTTCAAGCTGGGTTTGTTTAGAAGAGACCATGGCACCAGCGATCATTGCTAATGTCTGATGGATCCTGACTGAGAGTGGAGACTAACAGGATAAGCAGAGAAGAATGCATATCTGTGTTTTATTGACTATGTAAAGGCATTTCCCTGCACACATCATAACCGACTATGGCTATCATTGAGAAAAATGGGAATCCCAGATACTTAAAGGTGCTTATATAAAACCTATACCTGAGTCAAGAAAACACTGCTGCTGCTGTTGTTGTTATGTGCCATCAAGTCGCTTGTGACTCATAGCGACCCTATATACAAGAACCCTAAATGCCATTTTATCCTGTGCCAACCTCACTGTCTCTAACACAGCTATCCCCATTGCTCCATTGACTGAAACAATCCATCTCATCAAGGCTCTTCTTCTCCTGCACTGTCCCTTCACCCTCTCAAGCATGAAGTCCCTCTCCAAGGACCGGTCCCTCCTTGTAACATGTCCAAAGTATGTCAGATGAAGTTTCAGAATCCTTGCCTCCAAGGAGCAGCCTGGCTTCACTTTCTCATGGTTTGAAATTAAGAAAGGTGTGTGTCAGGGTTGTATCCTTTTCCCCTATCTATTTAAACTACATCTTGAGCAACTCACTCAAGAAGCTGGACTCTATGAAGAAGAACACAGCATCAGAATTGGAGGAAGACTTATCAACAACATGCACTATGCAATTGACACAACCCTGCTGATATTGAAAGTGAGGAGGACTTGATTCTGTTACCAAAGTCATATTTTACAATTACAAATCCTTCTTGTTTAGAACTTTTTCACTCCAAACACAAATTATTATTAAAGTATGTTGATGCCTGTTAAAAAAAAAGAAAAGAAAGTGAGGAGGACTTAAAACACTTACTGCAGAGGAACAAAACTTACTATAGCCTTCAATTTGGATCCCCTCTCAACACCAGAGAGTGATTAAAGCCAGAGATTTCTACACATTATTAAGGAGCAATGATGTCAATTTGAAGACTAAGGTACAACTTATTCAGGCCATAATGGCTTTAATCACTTGCTGTGCATTACATGAGAAAGCAAGACAATGAGTAAGGATGATAGAAGAACTGATGCCTTTGGATTGTGGTGTAGGAGAAGAGCACGGAATATCCCATGAACATCCAAAAACACCCAAACAGATATGTCTTGGCAAAAGTACAGCCAGAGTGCTCCTTGGAGGCAAAGATGGAGGAATTTCATCTCACATATTTTGAGCTTGTTCGTAGGAGAGGCTATTCCTTGGAGAGGGACACTTGGAGAGGGTAAGAAAAAGACAGGAAATCCCCAGCAGGATGGACTGACACAGTGACTGCACCAGTGGACTTACGCGTGTGGCAGACGATGAGGATGACACAGGACAGGACAGGGTTCAGATTAATTGTTCAGAGGGTCTTTACCGCCTAATCAGCCGGACAGCACCAAACAACAACAGCATGGCTTGGGTCAGGGGCACCTTCCTCCTCAAAGTAACATCTTCGTTTTTAGCACCTCTCCGCGGTATTTTGGAGTAGATTTGCCCAATGCAGTACGTAATTTAATTCAAAATAAGTTTCGATTGCGGATTGAAACAAAGTGATGTCCATGATCCAGTCTTTCCTCCTCTCCTCTTTCATGATGTTGCTGAATTGTTTTCTTCAGAACTTTCCAGGAAGGGACCGGTGTGGTGTCCCCTTTTAGTAAAGACTATAAAACTCTATGGGACGATTCTGCTCTGTCCCATGGGGTCACTAAGCGTCCAAATCATCTCAGCAGTAACTTCCCTCCCCGTCCTTGTCCTCTCACAGGACTTGCTGCCTTGCCTTGGCAGGGAGGAGAGACCTGGGGAACAGCTCTTTATAAGACAGCACCTGGGCGTCCCGCATACACTTTGGGACACCTCCGTTTTGTTTCTACCTTTGCTTCTTTCCCTCTGCAGAGGCATCTCCAGACACCTGGGTCGGGTCTCTCTGCCCTCTTTTGCCATAGCTGATCTCATTCCCTCTCATATGTTGTTTTGTCTTCCCCAAGGGGTAAAGCACAGACTCCTTCCTGAACCCTGAGCAAGGATCTGTGAAGAAAAACTGAAAGACACCGCAGCTGACACCATGAGCCCAGGGAAGGACAGCCCCAGCCCAGGTGGGTCTCCTCTCTCTGCTCAGGACGTGCAATTGTGAGTAGAAGCTCCAAACCTTAATTAGCAACAGATGCATCAACAGTGGAGAAGGAATTGCGTGAGCCGGCTTCTGAACTCCAGGAGAAATGCAGGGGCGTCCCGCAGTTCTTGCAGGACTTCCCTTTCGGGTCGTCTCCTAAGGGTGGCCTGTATTAGGGGCTCTCTTTCTCCATTATTTCTCTATTAAATAATTCAGAAATGACCTGAGGGCAGTCTACAAGAAAGGAAGGAAGAGGAGATAGAAGCAGAAACACAACTGTGTCTCAAGGAGATGAGGTGAACCAGCAACCCACAGCAGTTCCTGCATTTCACCTGGTCTCCCCTTCTAGCCAGGGGCACTTGCCTTTCTGCTCTTGGCTAATCATGAGCTTTACAGAGACCTTTCCTTCCAGCCCCTTCCTGCTACCAGGCCACCATCTCTTCGGGGAGTCAGAACAACACTGAAGAGCTGAAGTCCCTCTGCACTGGTTTTGCCACATTCCGTCTAAACCACTTACAGAACCTTCACTGGGGAGGCCAGGCGAATTCTCCCTTGCGTTGTTAGAGACAAGAAATGTACTGTGTTCACAGGGTGGAAAGGCAGTGCCTCCCACACAACAGGTCTTCACCATGTGGCATTCCCTTCCCTGTACCTGGAACCTCTTATTCCAGGTGGGAACCAGTTTTGCAGCCCCCACACAACCAAATAAAATCACAGTGGTCTTGTTAGGGCCCCTCCCCGAGCCTTCTGGTGTTAAGAGCCTGTTAGTCATTTATGACGTCTTTTGGCAAGGATGAGTCTAAAGATCTCAAATCCACCTTGCACAAACCCACCCCATGGAGACACCTGACTCTTGGGTATTTCTCCCTGCTGCACCTCATCCATAAAATAGATGTATTCAGGGTCTGGGGTCCCCTTACTCTGAGCCCTGATTGCTTCTCTCCCTTCATTGACACCAGAAAAAGAAACCACAAAACAGCTTCATCCTCAAATCAACACTCAATTCAACTCCTCACTGAGCTGCCCCAGCAATCAAATCAGATCGCTCAGAAACCAGCCCTGAGAGCAAACTGTGCTTCACTCGGTTATAAAGAATAAGGAAGGGGAGGAAAGAAAGGGACCAGGAGCTCCCTGGACAGCCCTGGGGTCCTAGAGGGTCAGGGGTGGCCGATTTCTGAGCATAAATAACAAGTATCGTGGCTAACAGTGTGGCCGATGAAGGTATAAGTCCATTCACAGGTAACTTGGAAGAAAAGTCTGGCAATACACTTCCTAAAAACACTGACACTAAAACCCTATGGGGCACCGTTCTACCTTTAACACATATGAGGTCACTATTACCATGCATGACGTTAACTTGAGGACACCTGGCCTGTTTTCTAGTGGAAACAAGCTAATCGCTAAAGAACCAAGCACACTCACTTCTGTTGAGACGATCCCAACTCGTAGATGTTCTGCACCATAGAAACTGCTCCACAGAAAGATCAGCAGTTCGAATCCACCAGGGAGTCTGCAGGCAGAAGCTAGACCACGTCCTCCTGCAAAGACTAACAGCCCTGGGACCCCAGTGGGGGGTCATTACCATGGCAGCGAGTTTGGCTTCAGTGACTATAGTAACCAACATGCTTTCTACATGTCCAGCTCACACATGCGTATATACTGACCCCAGTCCCTCATGTGCAACGCCACAATCCTCAAAGCCATGGAAAGCCTCACTTTTTTTTTTTTGTAGCTCATTTGAGCAGAAATCCTGACTTGAATTGATTTCAAGCTACTTACATTATCATTTTGTCCCCCAGTGGTTAAGAGCTCCCAGTGGACCACAAGGTTCACGGTTCAAACTCAACAGCTGCACTGAGAGAGAAAGATGTGGCTGTCTACTTCGTAAGAGTCATGGAAGCCCGCGGGGGCTGTTCTGTCCTAAAGGGTCACTGTGACTTAGAATTGACTAGGTGTCAACAGACTTGGGGTTTCTGACTTGTTTGTTAGCTTGAATGATAAGCAGACTCCAGAAGAAAGGTGATGGGAGCTTCCATAAA